ACTAACTTCCTCTCTCCCTCCCATCACCCATCACCATCACCACAGCTGTGCAGATAGAACCAACGTTGTCAGCACACTCAGTAAGGGGCCTGTCTGATAATGTCCCCACAGCTAAAGACTTTGCCACCCTTCCTTCAGAAAGCTCATCTTACTAACTTAAGCAGTGAAACAGCAGAATATGAGTTTAAACCACTACTGGGGAAGAGGAAGACTCTAGCAAACAGCTACGGAATGTTCCTTATGTTTCAGAAAAAGTGTGGGGCACATCAATAACATCTTTATTTACTTCAGCTAGTAGGTAGTCATTACCATGCTTACTTTGCACATTTAATAGATATTTACTGAACATTTATTATGTATCAGGATGTTTTCTAGATGCTGGTCATATTGCAGTAAACCAAAACAAAAAAGACAAAAAGATAGAAAATCATTAATCATAGAGGTTAAAGACAAAATAAATGAAATAATGAGTAAAATCTAAAGAATTAATTGGTGGTAAGTGCTGTGGAGAAAAACAAAGCAAGAAATGATAGGAAGGAAATGAGGAGGGAGGAAGGAAAAGGGAAGTTACAATTCAATATACCATGGCCCTACTGATATGCTCTCTGAGCAAAGACTTGAAGGAAGGCAAGGAGGTACCATATGCATATCTGGGAAAGAGGATTCCAGGCAGGTGTCAAGTGCCAAAGTCGTGAGGTAGCTATGTGTCTGGGTGCCATAGTGGCTGGAACAGAATGACCAGAAGGAGTAGTGGTGACAGCTGAGTTGAGATGAAAATGAGGCCTGATCCTGCTGGGGCCCTATGGGGCATGTCAGGGCTTTCTTTGTGGCTTCCTTTGAGCAAGATGGGGAACCACTGGAGGTTTTAAGCCAGAGGAGTTTACAGAGTAAGAAAAATAATGGCTTAGGCCAAAGCCCTGGGCCTCTTTCTCCTGTCACCTCTGAGTCACAATTGATTATGTTAAGGATGAACATCTGACTCCAAAGGAACTAAGCCAATCACTGATGGATCAAATCAAAATTAATCCCCTCTCCAAAATCTGAACTAAATATAAGAGACAAAATTAGCCAGTGTTGGGACTTAAATGAAAAAGTGATGTAGAGTCAAGGTTAGGACGGTTACTTCTGTTAGTATAGGCAGCTAGTTAGTTATTAACAAAGGAAGACAGCATATAAAGTCAGACATTAAGCCAGATTAACTAGGAAGAAGTAGCTTCACAGTCACTCCAGGCATCTGAGTGTACAGGAAAGATTGACTTTCCAATCTATCCAAGGAACAATAGGCTGTCCCACACCTGAGACATGCACAGCACAAGCCAGATGAGGAGGCAAAACTATGAGGCATTCGCAATAGGAGCCAAAATAGTGACCATAAAGGGAGGTGTCTAGCCTGGGAAAATCTGAGAAAAAGAACAGATAGGGTAAGGGAACAAAACCCCAGAAGATCCAGGAAAGAGATTGGATAGATTGAAAGAAATCCTGCTCTCTCCCCAGTCCAAAGAAAAATAATCAAAGCTTAACAAAGACATAGGGGGCGCTCTCTCTCCATTCAGCCTCAAAGGCCTGGGTGTAGCAACCATCGTGGCAGGCCAAAGCACAGCATGGAAAGTGAACCAGAGAGGAATGAGACTAAGCTAGACTACTGAAGCTTTGGATGCCAACGCTAGGGTAATGGCACAGCATCTCTGGACCACAACCCTCCTCCCGGGCTCAGTGGGGACAAGTGTGGGCCTGCGGCTCCAGAGGATGGACATCTGCCGCAATTTGGAGCTGAGCCACCTGGTCATGGATGAGGCAGTGTGGCATCCTCTTCAGGGGTATCTATGTCCTGTGTGCCCCTCCAGTAAATCTTGTCACTGCACCTCAAACCCTCCTTAAAATGCATTTCCCATGATACCATGGAAGAATCCTATTTCTTCCAGCAACACTTTCCTAGTTCAAACAACCAGAAGTCAAACTGAAAATTAATGCTGAAGACCAGCAGGAAGGAGTAGAGGCATGATGAGGCAGACCCTGAAGAGCAGGGAAGGAGAGAAGAACCTGTTGATCTCATTATACAGCCTGAGGTACTTCCATTCTAGAGGACAAGAGATCTATGGGACCCAGGACTTTCCAATAAACCTCCAGCCTTGGCCTCTTTGTGTAGGTTTCTTATCCTCATAGTAATTAAAATCCCTGGGTTAGGCAGACAGTGAACTATATTTTAGTCCCAACTACTACATGGCTTTAAGGATAAACCAGCTAAAGTAACTCCTGAGAGAAAGGGGCAGAAGGGCAATTGGATTCTATGGCCTTTCACCCAACTCTGGCTTCCCACAAAGTGCCCTTATAACTCAGCAAGGTGCAATTCTATGACCTCACCCTCATTTTTAATTTCCTCACGTCAGTATCAATAGGAAAGCTTTAGCATATCCTATAAGGCTAAATGAATGTATTTAGTGAAATTAAGTTATTGTTACTCTTTTATTTTTTTTTAAATATATTTTATTGATATTTTACAGAGAGGAAGGGAGAGAGATAGAGAGCTAGAAACATCGATGAGAGAGAAACATCGATCAGCTGCCTCCTGCACATCTCCCACTGGGGATGTGCCCCAACCAAGGTACATGCCCTTGACCGGAATCGAACCTGGGACCTTTCAGTCCCCAGGCCGACGCTCTATCCACTGAGCCAAACCAGTTTCGGCTATTGTTACTCTTTTAAAATGAAGTTAATTAAGCTGTGAAATATTTGCTTTGGGTTTAGTAGGTGCTGGGTGTTTGAAGGTCTTGGAAGCTCTCTTACCACAGGCAGGTTCCAATCTTGTTTCTTTGTGGGAAACAGGGCCAAGGTTAACTGCTGTCCTTCCCACCCTTTCCCCCACCATTTCCTCCTGGGAAGCATGCCAAGATGTCAAGAGAATACAGGAGAAAAGCAGAGATTAGTGCATCTCTGTCAACTCTATATAGGAAATGTTCTGCTGTTTCTAAGTCTAGCGGGCACAAGAAAAGGAAAGCATTATCACACAGGGTCTGGTTCAGAGCATGCATCTGTCTGCCCACAGGCATGCAGGCTGACTCTCAGTCAATGCAAGTGAGAGCAATTAACTTGAAACACAGGCAGACAGGGCAGGGGTCCAATGGGAAACAAAGGCAGGGGTAGACATGGCAGTTTGAGCAAGCCTAATCACAGAAACCAACCATGCTGAAATAATAGAATGTTTTTAGACACAGAGCGGGAGGCATGGGAAGCCAAGGGAGGGCCTGCAGCAACAAGGTGTACTGACGCATAGGAACAAAGAAAAGAGAAAGTTCAGGTCCACTGCTGGGCAAGAACAATGAGGGAATCAATCAAGTGGCCACACAGGTAGATACAGAGCAGGCTTGTAGCAAATATATACCCCTAGAGTACAAGGCTTCAGAGGCAGCCCATTATGGGGCCTTCCTCCCGGTGAGGGGAGTCTGACTGCTTGTAATAAATTTTCCACACTTTTGCTTAAATTTTCTGGTTCCTGGAGCTTATTCTTCAGTGTGGTGAGACACGACCCCAGGGGAAAAAAACCTCCCCTCACCATTCAGGTTATCACAAGCAGCAGCCACCAGAGAGTTGGTCTGCAGTGCTGTACCCACCATGTAGAATCCCACAACTGCTCATCCTTAGGTTGTAACCAACAAGACCCGAATATACGCTAATCTCCTGCTAAGCTACCAGTTTATCTAATAGGATGGGTGAAGACTTCAGTAGTTAACAAATGTCTGACAAGTATGCACCAGTCCTATAAAACTCCAAAGACATGAGTTAACTGATTGAAGACGAAAATGCACTTCAGATAGTCTCTCAACATCTTTGCAGAAACTGGGGAAGCTGCAGGGATGAAAAATCTTACCTTCATGCTAATAAATCTAAGCAATGAGGCACTATCAGGTCAGTCAGGTCTAATTTTCTTAAGAATTAAAGGTAAAAAAATCCCCACCAAATGCCACCAGCAGTAGCTTAAAAATAAATCATTTCTTCATGGTATGAATCTTAGTACTAATTTCATCCATGGTTTCACCCCATTTTCTTACTCTTCTCTTCATTGCAATTCCTCTACATAAAAATTTCAACCCTGTTGTGTTTTTTAAGAACATGAAAACCTCTAAGATAACAAAGCTGAGCAATAAATTTTCTTCTCAATTGTGACATAAGAGCCTAAATCATCCAAATTGCCTAGTAATGAATGCCTGTTTTAGCCATTAGGAGGAGGTTCAAGGAGAGAAGAAATTAACAAAGGCATGAATTAATGAATGAATAAATGAACAGGTTTACTGTTTCATTAGCAGTAGAGCACAGAGCTCTCAGTGTGACAGAGACACAAAGGGTCCTCAAGTGGCCTGTAAACTTTCTATTTAACAATCATCTCTTCTAAGAAGCTCCAGGGAATGCCTTTCTGTCCCCTCCAGGACAACTCATTATCTGATTTGCTCACAATGTAAAAGGTCAGTGACAATGGGTTCCATTGTCAAATCTATTTCCCAAATGATATTTCACCTAAATAGTCCCTAAAGTTATAAAAATCTAAGTAATAGTAAAGATTTTTATCTCTTGTTTGAGCCTGAAAGTGCAGATTACCTCCAAGTTGTCTTTGAATATCTTAGAAACACATTATTTACACAAAACAGAAAAGAGAAGGTAGCAATATACACTCCTTCCTATATAGGTATTCATGTTGGATGTATGTGTTTATCCTATGACTGTCATTAAAACTTTAGTAGACATCAACAACAGGAAATCTGGACATTCATAGGGAGGGGGAAGCCTTGTCTTACTTACCTGCATTTAAGGTTTCAACATTTATTGGTTTTGAATGTGATTGTACAACTGACTTTCAAGGGGACTGTGGAATAGACTTTACACCTTCTTTTAGGAGCTCCCTACTCTAATGCCAAAGGAGAAACTACAGTGTCCTTAGGATACCTGATTAGAGTCCCTATGCACCACTTCACTCAAGTACTGGATGGCGGTCTCCTGAGGGCACTCACCAGAGTGACAATGGCACATTCAGCCGTCAGTTGAGCAGCACTGAACAGTGTCCGAACAAACCGGTAAATCTGCTTCTGCTCTGGGTTGTGTTTGTCATAATCTGGTGGCACTTCAGATTTCTGGGGAAAAAAATATTTTCAGATGCCAGGCCACCCAATAAGAGCAAAAGAGAAATAATTAAACAATATCATGAAACACGAGGAGGAGGAGATTACCGAAAGAGGATGAAGGTTTTCATCAAAAATATCTAAGAGCATCCTTCCATCTGGGTCTCTGGTGGGGAAAATTAATAGAAAATGGAGTTTACTTTCTGCAAGAATGAGTGTCCTTCAAAATAAAACAAAATATATTTTGATTCAACTGTTATTTCAAGAAAGAGAAGGCAGCGAATAATAATTTGTTTTACTTGGGTACAGTATTAGATAATTTTTGAACAGTCCATGAAATAAAGGTTATAAATTAACTTGTGTGAGAATTCAAATTTTTATTTTCTGAGTTTTCAAATGAACCAAATCTAAATTTAACATCTTGTGTTTTTTTTAAATTTATCTTTATTGTTGAAATTACAAATGTCATCCCTTTTTCCCCCATTGACTCCCTCCATCCCGCCCCCACTAACATCTTGTTTCTTGAGCAAAGGCTGACAGATCTACTTAAACTAGTAGTATGTTGTGGTTGACAAGAAGTCCAAAGGTAAAATGAACATTCAATGTATCCTAAAGATTAATCTGAAGAGTTTAACAACATGCAAAATTAACATTTCATTAAGAGTTTCACAATTTTGTACTGAAAAAATGAGGTGATGCATAGAAAAGCTCAACTCAATAACCTATAAACCTATAAAAAAAAAATGGCTGGTTGCTCCATGTAAAGTGATGGCTTTCACTCTAAGCACAGTGCCTCAGGCAGCTGTCCTGCAGGGACTATTCATACCTCACCATAGACAGCTCTGCTTTTCATCTGTTGAATTTTGCCTAAAAACTTTTCTTTACAAACCATATTTGGAAACCACTGCTTTTGGTAACAACATATCATTTCCATAGTCTGTGCTTCCAATGTCAATTAGGGTTGTGAATAGAAGACTTCAGACCAGTCCCTAACACACAACCATGGTGGTAAACACTACAGTTTCTGCTCTATGAATTTACTGTCTACACAAAAATAAAAGAGAAAGATCTCAACAGAACAACTCAATGTGCATTATCGATTGTTTTTAAAGCTTTGGGCATTCATACCTGTGCTTATTTTCACTAGCCTGCAGGAACACAGGTAGCAAAGATTTAGATCAAGAGTGGGGAACTTCCAGCCCTCAGGCCTCGGCCCTGGAAATCCTTTGGTCTGGCCCTGCCAAGGCATTAGGGGTGAGTTAATTAAATGTTTGACCAAATATAGCAGGCTAATTTTTAAGTTGATAATTTTGTATGGTCCGGGAATGATGTTATAAATATCCAAATGGCGCTTGGCAGAAAAAAGGTTCCCCACCTCTGATTTAGATAAATGCCAGTAAAGACAGGTTCAACCAGGTAGGACCTGATAGTGGAGTCTGAAAACATAAAGATGGCTCCTTCTGGTGCACGTGGTGACACTTCCTTTTATAAGAACCCCAGCTATGAGAAATTAACCCATGCCTCAGCTCACTAACTGCCTCTGCAAGATTACTCAAGGTGCTATGTGAGAGACAAAGCCTGGCCCAATACCCCTCTTCTTTGGGCTGTTCAGTTCTATTCAATTTTTCTGAGGAGTAAGGAAGGCCCTTCAGCACTCTCAAGAAACATTCACCAGAAGTAATTTTAAAAATGAAAATGTAGGTTCAAAATATAAATGAAGATTAAGAATTTAAGCTAAAATGACTCCTCTGTGAAATAGATTTTTCTTTCACCTCCATCAAAAGTTACGTGTCTCAGCTGATTAGCACCATAATGGATCTATCACCAGCTCCAGAGGTGTGGCCAGTATGATTTATCAAGGAGAAAGTCTGCAGTTGGTCAATGCTACCTCATCCCAAGAAGGTACAATCTGTATGTCAATCATGCTTGTTTACAAATGCTCACTTTTTCAGTTGGACTTTCTCACTTCCATTCACTTACTTTTGGCCCAGTTCATCACCATTGGGCAAGTAAAGTACATGATTAAAAGTCTCGGTGGTATATTGCCTGAGTTCAATTTCCCCATTCCCCAATTTACCAGTTGTGTAATCTTAGGCAAATTATTTTACCTTGCTGTACCTCAGTTTCTCTATCTGTAAAATGGAGATAACATTGAGACACAGAATGGTGAGTTTGGACTCTCATTGTGGGGTTCTTGTCCTACGAAGTTTGAAGAATAAAATTCGCAGACTAAAAGATGTTAAGCAAAAATGTGGAAGTTTATTTTAAGTGTACACAAACTCCCCCTGGGGAAGGGTCCCCAAATGGGAAAAAATGCTCTCTCTAAAATGGGAAAAAATCTAATCCTCTCAGTCTCTTTGTCTCCGGGTTTATAAATGCTGTGAGCTCTTTGTTCATTCCACTTTCTAATTGGACCCTTCCTTAATTTATATTCCCTCGTGCTTTTCTAATTGGCTACTTTCCTGCATGGTATCAGTTTCAAACTTTTAAAGCTCACTCGTTGCCCTCCTCCCCTCCCCCGTTCTTGTTCCTCTTATCTTGTAACATTCCTCCATTCTCTGTGAATGTAAGATAAGCAATCTGGCAGCTTGGAGCTGTCTCAACCCATTATGTATGTCTTCCTCTCTCATGGACCCCACTTCCCTAAAATTGCCTTTCCTGTCCCTGAAATTCCTTTCAATATCAGTATCACCTCATGAAGTTATTATAAAAGCTAAATGAGCCTGACCAGTGTGACTCAGTGGTTGAGCATCAACCTATGAACCAGGAGGTCGTGGTTTGATTCCTGGTCAGGGCACATGCCCAGGTTGCAGGCTTGATCCCCAATAGGGGAATGTGCAGGAGGCGGCCGATCTATGATTCTCTCTCATCATTAATGTTTCTCTCTCTCTCCAATTAAAAAAAAAAAAAAAAACCCACACAAAACCCTAAATGAGATAATGCATGTAAAGAGCTGCTGGGGTGGCCAGAGTAAGCACTTATAAAGTCAGCTATGACTATAAATTAACTTTGGTATCTATAACAGTCTAAGAACTGAGAAATCACTTAGAGATACTAATGCAAAACTGGTTGGCTTGGAAACACAGCTGAGTTCCATGAGTGGTACTACACTGTTATCTAAGACTTAAATGTTTAAAAAGTTTGAATGACTATCATAGAAATAAGCAGCAAGACAAAACCTACACTTTCATTGATATGTTATTCTGGTCAAGGTTTAACGGTCCAGTAGCCTACAATTTATAAATTTTTAAATCCAAAATTCTCAAGCACCAAAGAACCATGAATCACAATTACAATACAGGAAAATGTAACTACAGAGAATACCTTTCCAGGTGTTTACCTCCAGATATTTGTATTTTCCCATAAGACTGTTCAGAAGAAGCTCTGTCATCTAACTTCCACTTCATTGACTTATCACAACTCTCCCATACCCTTTTTGTAAAACACACTGAAGGCAGTGTGGTGCCCACCCACTGAGATCCATTCCAACCATGAGGTGGCCATGCTTGTTCCCAGAAATGGGTCACATCAGTGTTTTTAAAACAAACAACAAAAACAGGCCAAAATGGAGTCACTTTTGCTAAGCTATGTCACCAAACCAACACTTAATAACTAATCTAACTGCAGATTCAGGAGTGGAATTTTAAGCCAATCAGTTTGGAATTTCCTATCAGCACTACTGAGGTAATCTGCCTTCCCTAAGGAAAGGTATCCTTGCCTGAAATAATCCACTCTTTTAACTTCTTAGTCCCACCCTCTTTCTGCCTATAAAAACTTTCTATTTTGCCCTGGCCATTGTGGCTCAGTTGGTTGAGAGTTGTCTTATACACCGAAAGGTGGTGGGTTTGAGTCCTGATTAGGGCACATACCCAGGTTTCCAGTTCAATCCCTGACAGGAGGCAACCCACCCATGTTTCTTTCTCACATTGAAGTCTATCTCTCCCTTCCTCTAAAATCAATACAAAACCCCCCCCATAAACTTACTTTCCATTTTGTATAACCCCTGAAACTCCCTTCTACTGCTGGGTGGAATGCTGCCCAATTCATGAATCACTTAATAAAGCCAGTTAAGCTTCAAATATACTGGGTTGAATTTTTTTAAGGAAGGGGAAGAGAAAGAAAAATATGGATGTGAGAGGGATACATCAATCGGTTGCCTCCCTTACCTGTCCCAACCTGGGTGGAACCTGCAATCTAAGTATATGCCCTGACTGGGATTTGAACTTGAGACCTTCTGGTGCACAGGATGACGCTCCAACCTGAGCCACACAGGTCAGGGCATTACTGAGTTGAATTTCATTCTTTCACACAAGTTGTTTTTATTAGGTTCATATAACATATGTAAATGTCACTTAATAAGACTGCAATGAGAGTGGCTTTGTTCTTATGAAAATGAAGAAGGGTGCTTTGGAAAAGACACAATAAGAGGCCATCTCTAAAAATAAATTCATTGTGTGGTCAAAACCTGAAAGATTCTATACTCAGATTGTTCTGCATATGTCTTATGTTCTGTTGATATTGATTAAAAAAAAAACACACTGTGGAAAAGGATAAATTACAGGTGTGGCTTACAAAAGAAAGTCATTTTGGTATTCTAATCAATGCCGCAGCTCAAAACTAAAGTCTTGATGCTACATTAAAAAATTGGCAAATGGCCCAGCTGGCATGGCTCAGTGGTTAAGTGTCCACCCAGGAACCAAGAAGTCAGGGTTTGATTCCAGGTCAATCCCCAGTGGGGGGTGTGCAGGAGGCAGCCATCAATGATTCTCTATCATCATTGATGTTTCTATCTCTCTCTCCCTCTCCCTCTCCCTTCCTCTCTCTGAAATAAAAAAAAAAAACCATTAAAAAAATTTTTTAAATGGCAAATGAATGTACTTTTACATGTTTAGTGTTCAAATAAAATGTTAATGGTATATTCTTAAATGATTTTTCTCTGATTCCCTATTAAATTAACTGAACAATCTTCATACTCATGTCAGAGAGGTTTCTAAACCATTAATGTAATTTATGTCTAAATTCAACCCAAAATTTCTTCTACTAAATTAAAATACTAAACATTATTTTTCATGTTAATGTAGCATACAGTAAATTTTTTAAATAATAGTTTATAAAAGATAGAATGTTTAAACAAATTATTCAGGAAATGAAGAGTAAAGAGGAGGCTAAATATTATCAAGAAGCTTTGCTTTGTTTTGCTAACTTCAAACACAGACACCCATCTGATTTTCTTTGAATTGGAAGCAATTCAGCACTTACCTGAGAAGTTTTGGTAAATTATACTAATTTTAGAAATCTATGAAAATTAAAGGCCAAAGCAACAAGAAAATAATAGGAAAAGAACAAAAAACATAAAATGTAATGTTTTTAGCACAAAATTAATCATCCACATACCTGTTTTTGATGTGATAATATATTGCGAGAGCTACACTGTAAAATAAAATGCAGTTCAATGTTTCATAAGCATACTCAAGATGTTATGTATTATCTGACATCAGTCTGATATTTAAATTTAAGTAAAAGTCAAACAATCCATCTGAACAGTCCCATTTAAGTCAGAATGCTGATTTTAAAAATGGTCTCTTTAAAATAAATCAATCTGGTACTCATTCCTAGAAATTATTAAATCTTTTTCAGAAATACCGAAACTTCAGTGATATTTAAAAATTTCTCTTACTACCTGAAATCTTAAGCTTTCCTCACTTGTAAAATACAAGCACTACGTACAAATACAGGTGGTACAAATTAAACACCTTTAGAAATCTCCAAATCAGTACCTACTATTTTAGAAAAGTAGTGGTTTCTTTGTAACTACCAGAAAAATGTGACTATCACTCACAGGGGTTTGATATTTTTTCCCTTAAATCAACAACCTCATGGCAATCGGTCTACTTATTCACTCACTTGCTGAAATGGTACTGCAACTCCTATTTGTTATACAATCTTTAAATTTTATTTTACATTTTAAAAGATCTTAATTTAATGAAGACATTCCCCTTTTTGATTATAAAATGCATTATATCCATAAGATGAAAATTTTAGAAAACACAGAAAGTATAAGTAAAAATAATCCTTTTGCCCAAAGATGACTATTAGCTTGAGATACATAGATTCTATACATTATATATAATAGGTTTGTGTCCTACTTTTATTCTCACTAACATTTTCCTTACAATTAAAATAGTCTTTAAAAACATGATTTTAAATGGTTATGTTCTATCATATAGTTGTTGAATAATTTATTAACCATTCCCCTCCTAGTGAACATTTGTTTCTAATACTTTGCAATTATAATTAACAGCATAATAAATATTCTGAGATAAATATGTGTGCAACCTGTGTACATTATTTCCATAAAAGAACATCTTGTAATTGCAATTACTCAGTCTAAAGTCATTCATAATTGTAGGGCTCCCCACATACACTGCCAAATATCTTTGCAAAAATCTATACCAGTAGACTTCCCCACCAGTGTCTGTTTTACCTCACCCGTGCTAATATTCACCTTATATGTTTTGACAAAATGTTCTCTAACAGGGTAGGTTAAAAAATGGTGTACCTGTTTTCAATTTGAGTTTCTTTCATAACCTATCAAGTTGGCAGGCTTATTGCTATCAACTGGCCAATTTTTAAAATTTCCTCTTTTGTAAACTGACTAGCTCCTTTCACTATTTTTGTTTGTTTGCTCCTACCACTATTTTCTTTTTAACTCTAAAATTTACTGAAGAGGCCAAAATTCATTTATTAAGCTACCAAGAACAGAGGTAACTAGTCTTATCAGATTGCGTTCTGGGTCTCAGAGCACAGAAACTGCCATCCAAGGCACCCACTTAAGAAACTTAGGCATGCATGCTGGATTCCACTAGCTCAGAGATTTACCAATAACTTAACATGACAATAGCAAATCTCACTGTATCACAAGAAAATGTATATTCCTCCAAATTTCTCTCCAGATCTATTCATTCAAATAATTTCAGCTAACTGTTAAAAGTATTCAGGAGCAGCCCTAACTGGTTTGGCTCAGTGGATAGAGCGTCAGCCTGCAGACTGAAAGGTCCCAGGTTTGATTCCGGTCAAGGGCATGTACCTTGATTGCGGGCACAGCCCCAGTAGGGAGTGTGCAGGAGGCAGCTGATCGATGTTTCTCTCTCATCGATGTTTCTAACTCTCTATCCCTCTCCCTTCCTCTCTGTAAAAAATCAATAAAATATATATTTTTTTTTAAAAAAAACCATTCAGGAGCAAATAGTAATATATTCTCTTTCTCCTAATATTTTGAAAAGAATCTAAGCTCATGAAAGAATTGTAATTGAAGTAAAAAGGCTTCAGAATTTTTAAAAATAATAATATAGCTTTCAAAGTGCTTTCACATACATGAAAAAATACATGTTACTATTCTATTTTATAAATGAGAGAATTTGGGCTCAGACACCAGATGCCAGGATTTCTGGCTTGTATAATGGTTTTGTGCCCTTTCATTCTACCACAATGCACCTGGAAAAAAGAAAATACTGTTTTTTTCATGCTGTAGTGATTGCTCTTCTAATCTAATGTTAAGATTTAAGCTGAAAGCTTCATACGATTGGGCTTGAAGTGATTAGTTTAGTCACTTTGATTGAAGAAAAAATGGTTCTTGTTTCCCCTGGGAGGGAGTGTGACACAGGAAAACTATCACTAAACTGGAAATCAAAGCAACCTGGGTTCAAATCTGGCTCCTTCATTTATTACAGTTCATTCATCTCTCAGAGCCTTCATTTCCTCATTTATAAAATTAGGACAATTCAACCTACATCACAGAATTGTTATTATAACAAATGGAATATATAAAAGCATTATCTCAAATATAAAGTTCTAAAACTAAAGTTATTATTATTGTGATTCCCCTATCAATATTTCCATCTCAAGAGGTCTACTGGCTTCTGTAGATTGAGTGAAAATCTTCAGGGACCCAAACCTCCAGAGCCAAAAACAAGATAGGACATTATTGTGGTCTCAGACTTCCGAGAAAAATAGAGCCACTCTGAAGGACAATTTCCACTCCGGGGTCATATCCTAAAAAGCGAGAAAATCAAGCTGAGAATGCATGTACAGTCCAGCTCCCTGTGGCAGTTTCGTTGGTTAACTTGAAAGAAAGTGATTGCTGGGGGCAAAAGGCAGACAGCTGAAAACTTAATCAATTTCAGGTGTCAGGCTCCACTCCAAATGTCTAGCTTTGGAGGCCTAGTCAGTTCTGCCACATCCTCAGAAAGTGGTGAGGTTTCACTGTAGATGGGCAGGGACCAAACCAAAAGTATATTTGGATCAAAGGTTTTACTTAAATGCTTTGGCCACAAAACTAGGAAGAAAGAAATGCTATTTTCTTGACCAAGAAAACAGAATAGATTGTAATAATTGGCACTGTACTTGTCTTCTTACCTAGAACTAAATCAGCAAAGCATGTGAGGATCCTAAGACCTTTGAAAATCAAGAGATGCTGAGTCACAGAGATAAAGACAGGTGGGTAAGTAGTGCTCTCTGATGCTCAAAGGCCCAGGGCCATGTACTATTGGCCAGCTGTATAAATGTGCCCCATCCCCCAACACCTTTTCCTTGATCAACACCCCTTTGTTCCTTATAGGATTTGGCGGAGGTATTGGTATTTAGGGGAAAGATAGGAAAACCAAATTCTCCAACAAGAAATCATGCCTATGGCCAGGCTGGTGTGGCTCAGTTGGTTGAGTGCCATCCCATGCACCAAGAGATGGTGGGTTCGATTCCTGGTCGGGGCACATGCCTGGGTTTCAGGGCTTGATCCCTGGTGGCGGTCATGCAGGAGGCAGCCGATCAATGCTTTTCTCTCTCTCTCCCTCTCCCTTCCCTCTCTCTAAAATCAATTTTAAAAAATATTAAAGGAAAAAAAAAAGAGAGAAAGAAATCACGCCTATGAAAAAAAATGAACACAGAGAGAGGGCCCAAACTTTTTGTATTTAGGCTTTTCTTTCACTGTTAGAATAGCACCCAACCTTCCCCCCATTTAGTAACCTAAAATTTGTAAATATGTTTCCTCATTTTGGCATTTCACCAATTTACAGAAGCATTTTCTTTTAAAAATAAAAATATAAATTGGTTGTTTAGAACTCAGAGAATTTTCTCAAAAAAACAAAAGAATACTTGGTTTTCAAGAAGCAAGTTCAGCCCACAAATGCTCACCATGTCCACAATAAAGTTGAACTACTATTGTATTAATGAGTGTGTAATCAATTTTAATGACTAGGGGGAGGGAGCCAAGACAGGAGTAGGATAAGGTTTAGGCAAAATTTTAGAAGATGAGAGCATTCAGACTTAGCATCTTCCCTACCCCCTTATATTTTCAGGGCTCCCAGGTCCAACATGTACATTTTTTAAACAGGGCACTTTTTAAAACAACTAAACTACTGACTAAAGGAATATGAAATTTGGGTGGTGCAGAGAAAATGTCTTTTGGATCAGGGAAGCCACAGTATCCACGCTGCTATGTCTCAAGTCAGGCTTCTTAATTGGTCTAGCTTTTCAGCTTCTTTTCCCTCCATGTATTAACCTACAGTTTATTTAAAACATTTTATTTAAAACTTTCAAGGGAACTTTAGGGAGGGGAAAGAAGCTGTCCACTTTTATCAGGGGTCCTTAACTTTGGCTGCCTATTAGAATCTCCTAGAGCCGTGGTCGGCAAACTGCGACTCGCGAGCCACATGCGGCTCTTTGGCCCCTTGAGTGTGGCTCTTCCTAAGCCTTAGGAGTACCCTAATTAAGTTAATAACAATGTACCTACCTATATATAGTTTAAGTTTAAAAAATTTGGCTCTCAAAAGAAATTTCAATCGTTGCACTGTTGATATTTGGCTCTGTTGACTAATGAGTTTGCCGACCACTGTCCTAGAGGGGCTAAAAATCCATACACTGGATCTGTGGGGTGAGACATCAAACGTCAGTGTGTTTTTAAGCTCCCAGGTGACTCCCAGGCACAGCCAAAGCTGATTCCACTGATTTAAAGGATGCATAGCTGTAACTTTGGTGATTGCACCTCTCACACTTGACACTAAAGTATCAAATTGTCATCCAGTTTCCCTGCCCACTCCTAAGTGGGAGTCCATGTTACAACCAATGGTGATTTTAAGTCATCCAAGGATGAACCATTGAGCAACTGATTCAGATCCATTTGTAAATCCCAAGAGCTCGCACTGGCCCTAAAGGGGAGGCATGTTCCGCTCCACTCTGCCTTGCTCTCCCCATGAAGATGATTCCAGGATTAAAGGAAGTTAGTGGCTTTCGCTCTGGGCTCCAGAGCTTGAGCAGATGCCAACAGCCACATAGTGCATGGATGTTCAGGGCTTTCCACTCCTCTCCACAACTGCTAATCATTTACTCTAGGAAATGCTATACTTCCCATTTCCCAGCAGTAAGTCTAGGCTCAGGGCAGGAAGTGTTGTGGAGCTTTCATATGCACACCTCTTCCCATCTATAGTAGCTGACTGTTTGGGTTTCTGCCCACTGGTTGGTTTATGCCCACTCTTCATTTACCACGCCCTTAACACCAAGGTATTGAGGGAAGAAGCCTCATTTCCATTTAGATCCTAGAAATACCAACCCCACAACAGAGAAGGCAGCCTCTCTCCAAGTGGTCAAACTTCTACCTTCCTCCTGGAGTGTCCACAGAAGACCATGACAGTCCCCACTGCTTGATTGAGGCTGTGACTAATTGTCACATGTGGTAACATTCAGAATAGGACTTCTAAGCCAGAAAATCTGGCCCACTGAGATAGAATACTTCCTAATAGCAATGTAAACACTTACCTCAAACACTACTATGCACTGTTGTTAAATGTGTATTTTCTTAAATATAGAGGTAAAATACCCCAGATTTTTCACAGATGAGCTGAAGACCACAGACCCTGGCACATCAGGTTCTCTGTGATCTGTTTCAAATGCTAGTGGGAACATTACAGGAAAAACCAGTGTTCCTTCCTTCTTACCTCCCATTTTAAAACATAAAAACTGAAGCCCAACATGGGAAGGATTTTATGTCAAGACTCCCCTTCCTCCCTTAAACCCCACTTGAAAATAAGATCCCCCAAAGAAGGGTCTTATCCAAACCCTCACCCCTTGGTGACAGAGCCGAGGTCAGACCTCAGATCTCGATTGTGGGCAAGGACACTTTCAATTATGTCAGGCCTGCTTTCTACTGTATCCCCAAGTCTTAAAGTGGAATCTCATTTTATTTTGAAGGTAAAATATTAGCAGAGTCATGCAAGGATAGCCTTAATAAAAAGTGGGAAGGTAGAAAGTATGCACAAAAATAAAAAATATGCTTTAATTTATATTTAAAATAATTTCAAAATTTGGTCTCTTTACCTAACTGGTAATATTAACAAATATTTTGAACACCCCACATTTTAACTACCAAAATCACATTTTAAAAAGATTTCCCATAGTCAATGGCCTCCCCCTGCCAGATCCCACAACCAACCAGTTAGGAATAGAAAAAGCATTCATTTAAGCAAAAATCTGTATACCCACCATTTAATTGTATACTTGAGGTTTGGTTGACTGACTGTGCTATCGTCTAGGAAAATAGTGGAGCAGGAGCTGTATTTCCTTGCTATTTGTCCTGGAGGATGCTGGAAAACAATGGCGACAAGACAGTAACAATTAAACAGGGCTCAAAATTCTTCCAAAGAACATCATCCCCTTAAACTTCAGATCACAAAGGAAAAATGTCTTAGCAAGAAATGTGAATACTACCCAGCAAGAACAATATAAAAACACTTTCTTCTTACGATGAAATTCCTTGTTCTTCCACATATAAAAGTCACCACACATAGTCCCAAACGCCCTTCATTGGAAGAACAGTACTCTTGCTATCAAGCATCAGAGTGCAGAATCCATAAAAATCAGCTGCCCTGGAGCCTGTGTGAAACAAGCAGACTGCTAATTACACTAACAAAAGCTCCCAATTAAGGGAATGTCCTGGTTTTATGCACCAAGACTCTACTGTACTCTATTCTTGGGGTACAGAGTATTTGGGGGCAATGGAAAATGCAGCCAATGTTAATTTAGAATCTCCTGGTTAATCTACTTGAATTTCAAGAGGTGATGTTAAAAAAAAAAAAGTATTCCTTTGTTAGGGCAAAGTTATCTTTTAAAGGGAAGATTATCTGATACTTTGCAAAAGAGTATCAATGGATGATCTTCACATAGTGTGTCTGTGCACTATGTAAGGAAAGGCGCAAAGAAGGCTTGTAAGTTGAAGTTACAACTTGGATGTCAATTTTCATACCTATTAAATTGATCACAACATTCTCACTAAGACACTATTAAGGCACTAAAAATTCTTTCTTTTTTTAAGCTCTTATAATAACCACATTGAAATCATGTAAGACACACTAAAATATCAGAAGCTAATAATAGCTATTAATATGGGAGGCAAGTTTTTAAAAGTTCTCATGAAATTTTCCCTACTAGTGTAAAATCTACTACAAACAAAACCTCAACAGATAAGTTTAACACAATACAGTGGGGCCTTGACTTACGAGTGTCCGAACTAACGAGTTTTTCGAGATACGAGCCGTCTCTCGGCCGATTTTTTGCTTTGAGTTGCGAGCTAAAATTCGGGTTACGAGCCAGCTTCAGATACCCCACCGCTAGTTGGCGCAGCGAACGTCACAGTGAACGCCACAACATCAGCCCAGCATCATGTGTCTCACTCGTTCACTTTTTGATTTGACATACGAGTAATTTGAGTTACGAGCTCCATCATGGAACGAATTAAACTTGTAAGTCAAGGCCCCACTATAATTCAGTAATTAACAGATGTTAATGAATTTTTGGAGATACAGGATAACTTTGGAAATAATCCCAAAAAAAGCAGCAAAAGGACAATAATAATTCACTTCTATTATTGTATGGTTTCAACTATTCTGATTTCTTCACGATTAAAATGTGAACAGAGTCAAGGAGAGGAGCTGAGTGATGCACTCTAGTGAGCATACTCTATAACCCTTCACATTCTAAGACACTACCATCGTGAGTTGCAGGGCAGGAACAACCCTGGGCACATAGTACCTAAGGTTCAGAAGATTAACCTGAAATCAGCCCCACTGAGGGGCTGGCCAGTCTTGGCCTGGGATTGCCCAGATGTTAGCCTGAGCCTCCCAGTACTAAGGGTTGGTGTGCCAAAGCCCTCACTTTGCCAGGGTATGCCAACTCAACTTTTAAACTCTTATTTCTAAATTGAATAAAAATCATAAGTATTAAGTTATAAAAGATTTTTATTTTCAGGGTATGTCATCACTCTAAAATATCATCTGGGCTTAACTCATTTGTTGAATGTCAGAACTACAAGATTCATAGAATGTAAACCTCTTGATCTGAAATCTACATCACTAAAAAAAAAAAAAATAGTGTTCTGAATACTTTACGTGTATTCATTTACAACTCACAAACCCCTAGGAAGGTAAGTAGAATTCCCATTTAAGAGTCAAGAGTCCAGAGAAATGAAGTAATGTTCCCAAGATCAAATCTAAGACACCAGAGCTCAAAAGGCATATTTGTGTGACACCAAATACATACCTTTCTAACTATAGTTCTTCACTTACGCCATGTTCTCCCAGATCTTTTCATACAATACCCCAAAGGCCCTTTACCTTCTCTGACCCCAACTCAACCTAGAACCTTGTTGACAGCCCTTGCTCGGGACTCCTTCCTGCCATCTGGGCCGAGGGTCCTTCCAGGTGCTCTTTCTTAGGCTTTTGTGACTTCTACAGTACTGACCAATCTCCGCTGCCATTTCCAGCTCACTCGTCTCTGTTCTCTAGGATCTAGACTCCAAGTCTCTTGGAGGTAAACTGGATAAATTTCTTGAATCAGCAAACACAAAGCAGCTTCATCCAGGGACCAGAGAGCCTTTTTGGCCCAAACCACAGCCATCACACAGGAAGCTTGCCTCCATGGGCTAGCTGGTCTTTGACTGGTCATGACAGCACAGCCTCAGCAGAAAGGAGCATGCCATGTCAAGCTGGCAAACAGGAGCTCATAGCAAGGGCCCATGCCACTGGTCAGTGAAATGCTGACATGTTTAGGACACACCTCAGTGGAGCAATGGCTGGCTCTCTGTGACCCTGCAGGGAATTAGCTAATATGGACGAGACATTTCAAGACAAGTTGGGCTAGAACATGGGTTGGAGTCAGAAAGCCTAGAGTTCCGAATGTAGCTCTGCCACTGATTAGCTATGTGAACTTGGGCAAGTTCCTTAAGTAGGATGATCACATGCTCTGGGTTGCTGGGGCAATCCTAGTTTGCCCGTGTTGCCCTGAAGTAAACAATATCAGCACCCCCTTTCACACTCATTAGTGTCCTGATTTGGACAACAAGTTATAAGGTTGCCTTGTGCTTTACCTCCTGCAGATTCAGTACCTTCCATCTGTAAAATATGGAGAGCAAAGGCTACCCCTCATTGTGGTGCTGTAAGGACTGCATGGGATAACAAGTGGTGTGCTGAGCACAGAACCATGCTCAATAAGTATGAAGTCACTTCTAACACTTAGTTTCTACACTTTAACTTCTCATTTTCAATGGTTGAGTAAAGTTGTCCTACCATTTCTTAGGGTTCAATAGGATCAAATAAAAATAAAGCATTAAAAAATGAGATAATATTACTAGAGGAAAAGAAGTTTTAAATGTTTGTAAAAAAAAAATATTACATCAATAAAATCTCCAAAAATGAATGCTGCATAATTTAAAAAAAAAATTTATTCAGAGGAGAGCAAATCATGACCCTGATTAAAGATAGAACTGTGTGTGCACAGACGAAATCTGCACCAGTTTCCCTTTATTAATATTAACTGAGGGCTTGATGCGCACAGAACATGCATGGGGCAGAGACAGAAGTGAAAATGAGGTGGCAGTGCCCTAACCGGTTTGGCTCAGTGGATGGAGCGTCGGCCTGTGGACTAAAGGGTCCCAGGTTCGATTCCGGTCAAGGGCATATACCTTGGTTACGGGCACATCCCCAGTGGCGGTTGTGCAGGAGGCAGCTGATCCATGTTTCTCTCTCATTGATGTTCCTAACTCTCTATCCCTCTCCCTTCCTCTCTGTAAAAAAATCAATAAAATATGTTAAAAAAAAAAAGAGGTGGCAGTGCCCAATGTTACCACCTGCTACCTCCCGTACATTGCGGTACACAGTCTCAGTAAACCATGAGGCAGGTGGGGGTATTTTCCTCATTTTACAAACAAGGAAACATCTAAAAAGTTACACAGCTAATAAGGAGTGGACACAAGGAACATTCTGTGAAATTCCCCTGTGCAATCCCAGAGCACTCATAGTGGGGAAGGACATACATGTAGATGACACCAGGGCTAAGAGAAAGGAAAGTTGCATCATATCCTTCCAACACCACCATGAGCTCAGAGACACAAAGATAAAAAGGACAAAGTAAATAAAAGAAAAACTCCTCTTTGACTGCAAAGTGTTAACAAACTAATATTCCATAGAAAGAAAAAGGAAGACAAAATAGCTTTTAGCAGGTTCAATTTCTTACAGGAGGAAAGAAGAAAGGGCAGGAAAAGCAAATAGCCATGGAATTAAGAACAGAAGTGAACAAAATCATTACTCTCTGAAAATAGAAAAATAAACCAACATCGGGTCTCAAAGACAAACACTAGGAAATGCCAATTTTGAGGTAAAATTTTACTCTGTTGTGTCATGCATGCTGTCATCTATATATATAAAAAGCCAGCGACCAGAACTCCATGATGACTGGAACGACCCGTGGCTATGATGCCCACTGTGACCAGCGAACCAGCCCGATCAGGGGGTAGGGCCAGTCAGCCAACCTCCCGTGGCACCTCGGCCCCCCCCCTCCCCCGGCCAGCTCCGCCCCTGATCGGCCTCTCCCACCCCAATCAAGGGCAGGACAGCAGGCCTACCCTCTCCCCTGCCCCCCACAGCACTTACCCTCTGCCACCGGCCCTGCCCGATGGCCCCCACACCCAAGCAGGGGGCGGGGCTGGCCAGCCAACCTCCTGCAGCCCCTCCACCCAGCCGGCCCCACCCCCAATCGGCCTGCAGATCCTCTCTATAGCGGCCCTGCTCCTGATTTCTGCCCGCTACCACAGTAGGGGGTGGGGCCGGCCAGCCCACTGCCCACAGCCCCTCCCCACAGCTGGCCCCACCCCCAAACAGCCCCCACCACCCCGATTGGCCCACGGCCCCTTCCCCCAGCCAGCTCCGCCCCTGATCAGCCCCCCCACACCAATTGGGGGTGGGGGTGGCCGGCCAAACTCCCACAGCCCCTCCCCTGGACACTGACCCCCCAATCGGCCCCCCCACCCCATTAAGGGGCGGGGCCCATCAGCCAATCGCCCTCGGCCCCTCCCCGCAGCTGGCCCAGCCCCGATCGGCCAGCATATGTATTCCATGCTGTAGTTTTGGGGGTAGGGTGAGATGGGAAATGAACTTATTCCAGAATGCTGGGGATAAGGTAGGGCAGATGTTTATCTAAGTATAAGTCTTAAAATTTTTAATTTACAGAAAGGCTCAAATATGAGTTAGACTGGCCCCAGAATGTAAAAAAAACCTCAAGTTTCTTTCCTACCTTTAGCACTCTCTCTTCTACA